GCAATATATTATTTGCCTTTTTACTTTTCTTAGCTTTCTTCCCCCCAAACAGAAATATTTAATTTCACTGCTTTTAATGTGTCTCTCTTTCCCTTGTGGTTTTTGGTTTATGTCTTGCTTTTAAGACATTACACTTTAAAGCTGTAAAAATAAGTTCATAGGAAGACATTTACAAAGATGTTGATGAGAAGGATTGCAAGAAAAGTGAAAAATTTAATTTGATGGGCTGTGGTTCTTAAGAAGGTGGTAGAGGAGGTAGGAACTAAGATCCAGAAATAAATAGAAGGTTGCGTTGGAAGAGGAATCATCTTCCTTTGTCATAGGAAGGAGAGAGGGAAGGATGGGTACAGCTATGGGAGGTCGGGATTGCAATTTCATATGGAAAGTTGAAGGAGTTCCAACCCAAAGCGTTCGGTTTTCTCTTTATGAAGAAGTAGGCATCTACTGAAAGTAATGGGGGAAGTGTAGTTTAGTTTGAAGGGAGCTGAGAAGGTTCTAGAGAATCATTGCAGAGCCTGAGAGTGAACTAACCAGTGAAACAGACTTGTTGACTAAATGGAGGGACACTCCTCAGAGCTTTCAGACTATTCTTAGCAGTCTTCAAAAGTCCAGGTATACGTGAGGGAAGGTCAGTATCTTAGTATGAGATTTTTTACATTTTTAGCTATCCTTCCATCATTTGTTTCTAATTTTATTCCATTATGGTTGCAGTACTGTGATTCTTTGGAATTTACTGAGGCTTCCTTTATGGCTTAGAATAAGGACTATATTTGAAATTGTGTTCTACATTCTTGAATGTATTCTTGATTTGTTTGGTAGAGTTTTATAGATATAAAATAGTGTACATTAGTGTTGTTCAGATCTTTGAGAGGATTGTGTCAAAGGTGTGGTGTTTCTTTTTTCATGGTCCACAGGTTTGGATGGAAGCAGGTATCAGTATGTGAAGTTTGCAGTCTTCAGCGTGAGTGAGTGGGCCCTATGATTAGGCATGCAGAGGTAGGCAGTCAATGGGAACTCCCTTGTGCCCTGCCCTGTACCCAGCAGATAAGGAAACCGCAGGTTATACAGTTGATGTGGCTTACCCAGAGTCATACATCTAATAAGTAGCAGAACCGGAATTTGTACCCAGATCTTTTGGGATCAACTCTAATACTCTTCTGCTATATCTCTTATGCTTAGTGGTGGTAGGTGATAGTTTTCCTCTGTCTTCCAACATCATCCTTAAGGTTATTTACCATGTGCACAATCTATAATACAGTATCACTGGATCCTTAAAAAACCCATTAGAGAAAGTGTCATCATCCTACTTCACAAGTTCCCTCAGATATAAGTATCATGACAAATCTTACAGCTGGTCACTAGAGAAACTTATTCATGTTCAGATTTTTAAGTCTTTGTCTAGTGTTAAGTGTGTGTATTTTTGGGGTTGGGCGTGTATCAGAGTCCTGGCAGAAAACTGTTCAGAGTAGATGTTTCAAATAAAGACTGAATCAAGAGATGACTTAGAGAGTCATGGATGGGCAGGGCAGGCCTCAGGCAGCAAGTAAGGGATGGAGAAGTGGAGGAGGCTGACAAGAGCTAGAGCTGTGCTGTGAGGACCTAATTGTTCCTGAGGGATGCAGCTCTGCCAGTGACACAGCCCCAAAGTAGGGAGGAAACAGAGAATGACCCGGATTTCTCTCTACCCCCTCCCTCCTATCCCCTGAAAGTAGTGCCTCCCAGGGGCTGAGCCCCGCCAGGAACCAGCCAGCAAGGTTAGCCCCCTGAGGTAGAGAGCAGGTGGAGGAGGCATGTGGGAATGGAAGGACATTTGGGATGGAGAATCCCAGCACTGAGGAACTGTGCCAGGATGGAGTGCTCTGAGACATAAAAACACATTACAGGAAATTAAAACATTGAGAAAGGAAATTTAATGGACTTGAAAAATAGGGTAAACTGTGAGAAAGTGTAAACTAGGAGCATGTAAATGATGTGGGTTTCTGTGTGAGAGTTATTTTCAAGAAAACTGTGTGAACCTAACTTTCCTTGAATTCACTGCTATGAATAATTTTAAAACTTCTTTAGGACCCATTTTATAGCCTTCTAAATAGTCTTACTGTTCTCCGTTAAACCCCTGATTTTCTCCTTCAAATACAGATTTTTAAACCCCTGAAACAATTTCAGTAATTTTTGTGAGACTGAAATTTTATTAGGAGAAAATTAGCTTGCTCTCCAGGTGAAAATTCTTGGAGTATATGTAGTATAGTCTGTCATTAGAGGAGCGTCCATTTTGTTTATCAGTTTATTTAGAGTAAAATCTGCATCTTAAACAGTATGCCATACTAGATATTTGTAATCTGAGATGTTTGACGATCTTTTCCTTCGGTACTCTACAACCATATCTCAATATCATCTTCTAAATATTGCCATAAATATAATATAGTATAATATAAATTATATATGTAATATAATATTTGCCAAAGTGCTCTTTCAAAAATACATTGAATAAAACAGAAAATGGAACCAAGTGAGATATATATATTTTGCAGCATTGAGTTCTTCCCATGTCATATTTTCCCCCATCTTTGTTAAAATTTTGCCTTGAACTTCATTTATTCAGTATATTATTGATTATATCATGAGTAGGCCCAGGACTATTCCTGTGAAATGTGTTGTGAAGAATTCTCAATTGACACTTCCAGTTACTTAATATAGAAAGTTGCTTTCAAAAGATTTCTAATACATAGAATATACTTAGAGAGTATTAGTTTCTATGTTTTCCAGTTTGAAGCTGTTTAAAATTATTGAGGAGGATAATGCTTTTTTTTTTTTTGGCAAGTTGAAAATGGAATAACCAGTGTACAAGAATAGTTCATATGAGATATTAGAACAAGACAAATTAAGAGGTTTTAGCAGGAGTAGAATTTGTTTTCAATCGAGATTTAAGAATAGTTGGAGAATTAATGTACAGAGGAACACAGAGAAGGCATCCACCTGGTAGAATCAAAGCAAAGAAGATCCTTTTGCTGAAACCGTGGTAAGGTTCTTCTGGAAGGGGCATGCTGGAGTCAGAGGCTGAATTTATAGAGAAAGCTGAGGGACAGCAAAGTGAGAGAGGTTTCTGAGGCATGTTGGAGTGACTGGACAGATTATAAAACAAAAGCATTATGTAGTAGATCCTGAAATTCAGCTTTTGAGGCTGTTTTCTGTCAAGATATTGACTGCTCTAGTTGGTGCTAAGTGGTAACCTTTGTCTGTTCTTACTCTCTGTGAGTTCTCTTGGCTCTGGCTTGCCTTGGTTTTTGCACAGGTGTCAAGGAGTTGTCATAGAGTTTGAAGGTTACTCTTCCAAGTGGGGCAAAATTCAGCATGTAATTTGGGTTGAAAATAGTATCAGGCAAAGAGAAGTTCCATTTTGTTTCTTCCTTAGAGGCCTTCATTCTCCTGTTTTGGTCTGGACTTGATTGCTTTCTTGACCTGCCTGTGCCACTGTGGTTCTGGAGCAACCCTCCATCTTACCAGATCTTTCCTCCCAGGATCCTCTGTGTTTCCAGGAGCATAGGTGTTCCTATTTCTCTTGGGGAGATTTTTTGAGACTATGCATGGAATGTCAGTTTCCCATTTTTATGGGAAAAATGATTGAGTCAGTTAGATTGGAAATGTTGTCCCTCAAATTTTATTCAAGTTTTTATTGGTTCTTTATGACCTATTCCCCTACCCACCTCTCACCTTCCACTGCCACCTTGGACATTTGTAGGATTTTCTTAATATTTCTGGCAGCTGAAATTTCAGGATTGTGACTTGTTATGGGTCTTATTTCTCTCAGTGTGCTGGATGCTTACTCTTTCCTTCCAATCTTGAAATCTGGTCCTTCAGATCTGAGAAAAATCTTAGATAATTTCATCCCCTCTTTTTTCTCTCTTTTCTCTTTCTGGAATTCCTTTTGGTCAGATATTAGACCCCCTCAATTAATTCTGTAATTTATTTTCCATCTTTTATTGTTATTGTCTATTTATATTTAATTAATTTTTTTTTAGCATTTCCTCAAGCTTATCTTCTTATCTGTTTTATGGAATTTTATTTCTTTTTGGGGGTGGGTGGAGATAATTAGGTTTACTTGCTTATTTTTTAATGGAGATATTGAGGATTGAACCCAGGACCTCATGCATGTTAAGCACATACTCTACACTGAGCCATACCCTCCCTGCCTTGGAATTTTATTTGTGCTACCATATTTTAAAATCTGAAGTAGTACTCTGTTTTGTTCTTAATATTCCTTTAAAAAATTGCATGTTGTTCCTGCTTTGTAGTTTTAATAGCTTCTTTTATTTTCCCCAGCATATTAATTACTATTGATTACAGTTTTATTTTGAAGTTCCTTTTTGCCTTCTGTGTAGTCTGTTTCCTCTGATTTTTTTACTTCCTGTATATTTGCTCTGGTCTCCAATTGTCATAATGGAAGGGTTTTTTCCCCACAAATTTCTGTCGATTCTTGGCTGTCAGTTCATTTTAGAGTCTTTTCAGATACTAACAAGCTGATTGAAGGCTCCCCCTTAAGAGGTTTGTTGACTAGTGTGCTTTAGTATGTGGTGATCTGATAGGAACCCAGTTCTTTCTCTGGAAGAAACCCACACGTAAGTGCCTGTGAGCCTTTTTTTCTGGAGACAGTTCAGTTTCTCCAGAAAAACGTCTTCTGATCCCTTGCTTGCCAGGGATAAGCTCAGCTGTCATTGTTTGGGGAGCCCATTTTGGAAAGAGAAGGAAGATTACAGGGTTAGTAAATGGTGAAAGGGATGTAAACTGCAGTCATGTGGCTTCAGAGCCTTTATCTGAGCTACTTTGATTCTAACCTCCTATTTTAAAACCTAAGTGGGGCTTCATGTCCTTTTACATCAATTTTTTTGTACTTGCGTGCAATAACTCGTTTCAGTCCTGTGCATAGCATGGTTAGGAACACTATCTATATGATGATATTCAATGATTTCTGTATTAGAGATTTATAATTTGTTCTTAATTTGCAGCTTTTTTCAAGGAGAAAACCTCCAAGGGGCCTGTATGTTTATGGAGATGTTGGTAAGTGTGTTAAAATAAGTTTTAAGTGACGGGTCCAAATAGAAATTTTCCCAGCTTTCACTCAGGGATAATTTCCATTTCTATCCCTCAATCCACTACCAGTAAGGGAGTAGGATGAGGCAAGGTAAAATAGGAGAAGAGGAGAGAGGAGTGCAGTTCCCTTAGTTTTTACTTTTATTTCTCATAGGGTGTGATTACAGTGGAAGGCAGGATTAGCTAGCATGTTAGCATGCAAACATTATTTAATGTATAAAGTGAGTTGATCTCAGGGAAGGAAATCATTTCTAGATAGGTTATTAGATAAATCAGAATTTCATTGCTCAGTGCTGTTTGACTCAGCTTAATACTTAAAAATACTGTTCATTTTTACTTTCAATTTTCACTAATATTTCTACTCATAACCTAAGCACTTGTCCTCAATTTAGTTATCTTTAGTTTAATGATGAGTGGACATTCTTAATGCATGAGTGGTAATATTTCCTTGGTCTCCCACTTCCATGCATTGGGTACAAAGACTCACATTTTCTTGGAAACCTTATGAACTGTCACTTACTTTCTAGATTTTCCTAATCAGTTAATGTCTTGCTTCTTCCCCAACTTAATTCTTACTGGAGTTGTCTGTTTTCTGGTTTTTATTTCCTTCAAACAATTCCTTTTCTCTTAGTACTAAACCTCTCCCTGGTTACCACCTTCACTGATGTCATGAAAGTGGCTCTTCCTTCATCTGGACTTAAGGCTTTTCAGTCACTTCTTTATTGGCATACTCAAAATGCACATTTAACGTCACAAGATCTGTTTTGGTCCTCAGCTAATAAATAAGCTTCAAGCTCCCCTTTAGCCATAAGAGATTTGCATTGTGAGGAAGTGGTGGCAGAAGTAGATTATCTTAGTAAGATTTTTAGGATAAGAAAAATAATAGGAGCTGAATAAGTAATTATACTGTCTTAAATATTAAGCTATTCTTTTCTGGGCCCTCCCTCTTCTGATTTGTTTATTAATGCCTCTAAATGCCTGTTTTACATTTACAGGATTAGCAAATCTAGAAAAAAAAAGAATTGTTTAGTTCACAGAAGTGATTGCTAGAGATTCTTCAAGTTGTTGAAGCCTGTAGATTTAAAAAATGTGAAAGAAGCTTAAACTATTCTTCTTCTTGGGTCATTGGCTAATTAGTATTTTTGAGACCAATACTTCTTATTTAGAATGTAATTTATACCAGGTATTCAATCGGTTTTATGTGTCTGTACCTTTGGGTACCACTAACAGATCTCATTCTGTTGTCATCTCTCATTTTCTGCCTCTTTGGAGAACATTTACTTCCTATACCTTCACTTTCATGTTCAGTCATTGCTAAAATCAGAATCTTTGTTTTTCTTGCTACCTTAACCACTTAACCATAAATGGAGATGGTTAGTAAAGCATGACGGTTTCCACTTCTGCAAAAGGACTTTAAAAAAAAAACAACTATGAAAGTTGTTAAATTTTGGTTTGAAAAATACAACCATATTCTAACAAATTGAAGGGAGTATAATAAATGTAATTCATCTGAATGTTTGAAAGAATTAGAAAAGATATGATAACATGGGATATTCACATAAATTGGGTGTGTGACAATTTTGGGCTAAGAACATCTTCACAATGTAGAGAGGAGATGAGAAAGGAATTCTGAAACAGGAAATAAGGTGAACAGTTTGGTGGCCATACTCAGTTTAGCTTAGAATACTTACAAAATAGGTGATAAAAAAATAGGTCAAATTCTTATTTTGGGAGGAGCTCTCTGGCTGGGAGAATGGCCTCAGAATGCCTTCGCTAACGCTTATTCTTTATTATTTTTCTTTTTTAGACTTGGGAAATAGTTATTAAGAGACTTGATGGAAAAGAAATGTCTGTTGCTTATCATCCCCTTCCCTCTCCTTATTCTTGCCCTTGGCTTGGGCTCTGTCATGCCCACTTCCTGCTACTCTTTCTTCATAGGTGTGCTGAGATGATTGACTCAGATAGATCCTCATTCCAGGGAACCCCAGGAGCATTGATATCATCATGGTTCAATCTTGAAATGAAATGTTTTCATTAATAAAAGCCTTAGCATACCTTATGCAAAAGCCAAAAGCTGCAGTAGTAGTGTTTGGCTTCATTCTTACCCTACAATTGGCTTTCTTATAACAAGATTTCAGCTGTTAACTAGCAGACTGAATGGTTAATGATTTCTCCCATATATCAGAAAAGAATAAAAGTACATTTTTGTTTATCAGCCCCTTTTCTGTGGCCTCCTGGTTTAACCTCACCTGTTTCACATTGATAATTTCACCAGTGGAAAGGTAGGCTGGTTTTAAGGTTAGGAGTTGGAAAGCAAAATTCTGGAGTGGGAGGCAGTGATGAAGAACACTGCTTCCAGCTCTTTCTGCAGGAGGTCAGCTGTGAAAAGGGCACGACTGGAGTAGTCCTTTTTGGCTTCCTAACTATAGGCTTAAATGTTAGAATTTAAGAGTTTTAGGTTTTACAAATTACTCTCCTGGTAAGAATCTTTTGTGGAGAAAATTGCAGGGTTTTATTTTGGACTTTTTGGGATCAAAGCAAAACTGTGGAGTAGGTGAAATTTAGTGTTGGTTTCTTCCCTTCTTTTTTTTTTTGCAGCATCTCCTGTCCTCATTCTTCTAGTCACTCAACAAATGTTTGTTGAGCACCTGCCTTGTGCCAGGCAGTGTATTGTTTCTGGAAATGTAATGGTGAATAAAAGCAGACACAGCCTTTGCTCACCCTAAGTTTACAAACTGTTGCAATGGCTTTGAAATATTTTTGAACATGACTCACAAAGTGAGAAGTATATTTTATATCCTGAATTAGTATATGCTTGGGTGTATACACACTGTATATGTGTGTGTGTATGTATATGTATGTGTATATATGTATGTGTATATATATGTGTGTATGTGTATATATGTGTGTGTGTATATATATATATACATATTTATATGTGTGTATATATATATATATATATATATATATATATATATGTAAAAACTTATTTGTTTTGTAGGATTTCCTACAACCTGGATTTTGCTGATGCATCTCTGTGGTGTGATATGAGTCTTCCAACTTAGTCTTTTTCAGGGTTGTTTTGGCCATTCCATGGCCTTTGCATTTCCATGTGCCTTTTAGAACTCCTTGTCAATTTCTTTTTTTAAAAAAAATCCTGGGCTTTTGATTGAGATAATGTTGAATCTATAGATCAGTCTCTACAAAGCATTGGTAACTTAAAATATTGAGTCTTCCAATCTATGAGCATGGTATATTTCTTCATTTTTAAATATCTTCTTTAATTTCTTTCAGTGGCGTTTTATAGTTTGTAGTACAGAGATCTGATGTGGTTTTTGAGTAAGTTTATTCCTATATATTTTATGTTTTCTAATGCTGCTGCAAATAGTATTGTATTTTAAAATTTTAATTTCTAGTTGATCACTGCTAGTGTATAGAATCAATTGATTTTTTTGATGACCTTGCTAAATTCAATGATTAACTCTAGTGGTTATTTGGTAGCTTCTTCAGGATTTTTTGTGTACACAATCACATCTGTGAATAAAGACAGTTTTACTTTTTGCTTTACAATTTTTATGCCTTCTAATTCTTTTTCTTGACTCACTGCACTAGCTAGGAGCTCCAGTAGAGTGTTGAATAGAAGTAGTGAGAGTGGATGTCCTTGCCTTGTGTCAAATTTTAGAGGAGAATGTTTAGCCTTCACTAGTGAGTATGAACCATTGTTAAGTATACAGTTCAGTGGCATTAATTACATTGACGTTGTTATGCAAACATCACCACTATTCATCTTCTGAACATTTTCATCATCCCTAAGTGAAACTCTGTTCCTTATTAAATAATAGCTCCCCATTCTATAACCCACTCTCTGCTAGTCCCTGGCAACCACCATTCTACTTTCTGTCTCTATGAATTTGATTATTCTAAGTATCTCATGTAAGTGGAATCATGTAATATATATCCTTTTGTTTCTTGCTAATTTCACCTAGCATAGTGTCTTCAAGATTCAATCATGTTGCAGCATGTATCAGAATTCTATTCTTTTTTAAGGCTAAGTAACATTCCATTATTGTATATGCTAATTTTGTTTATCTGTTCATCTATTGATGAATGTTTGGGTTGTTTCCATCTTCCGACTATTTTGAATAATGCAGCTGTAAACATTGATGTACAAATATCTATTTGAATCCTAGCTTTCAGTTCTTTTGTGTGTATCCAGAAGTGGAATTGCTGAATCATATGGTCATTCTGTGTTTAATTTTTTGAGGAATTGCTATTTTTCATAGCAATTTGCTATTCCATAGCAAAATACTATTTTCCATAGCAGCTGCCCCATTTTACATTCTCACTAGCAATGTAGAAGGGTCCCCACTTTTCCACATCTTTATCAACCTGTTATTTTTCTGTTTGTTTGTTGTTTTCATAATAGCTATCCTAATGGATGAGAAGTATCTCATTGTAGTTTTGATTTGCATTTTTCAAAGGATTAGTGATATTGAGTATCTTTTCATTGTAAGGTTTTTGCTTTTGCCCTTTGTGAGGTTGAGGAAGTCTTTACCTAGTTTATGGGAATTTTTATCATGAATGTGGGTTGAATTTTGTCAAACATTTTTTCAGTTGTTAGTATTGTGTGATTTATATATGTTGAATTTTATTTTGGCAAGGAGTTTAATAAGTTACTTGCATACCAGCTGATTCATTTGAAGTATTTTCTTAATTGAACATTTTATTGAGATAATTATAGATTCACATGCAATTGTAAGAAGTAATACAGAGAGATTTGTGGTCATTTTACTCATGTCTGCCATAAGGCATTTTGCGAAATTATGGTCAACCAGGATATTGTCATTGGTACAATTCACTGATCCTATTCGGATATCTCCAGTTTTACTTGTACAGTCATACCTCGGTATCCGTGGGGGATTAGTTCCCGGAGTCTCCCAGGATACCAAAATCTGGTGATACTCAAG